CACCCCGATCTGTCATGGACGAGCCCATCCAGACGGTCACAGAAGACCCAGAGCGCGCCAGCCCCTCCCATTCACGCAGCCGAGTGCCCAAGGAGCGTGCGGGGCGCCGACCGTCGCTGCCCACGCCCTTCTCAGGCGGAGATGAGGCGTCTGCTGCTGCCGATGGTGGTGACATGTACTTCGATGTGGTGGAGAATGGCGACTGGGACATCCTCGACACGCCCCGTGAGCCCTCAGCTGCGGCCGTCGCCGACTCAGTCTCGCGAACACGACCATCCATCACCACCCTGCCCATCCCCGAGGCGACGACAGATGTGGACGAGGACCACCACGAGGCTTCGGCCCAGGACCGCGGCAGCTCTCGCATCATGCAGGTGCTCCGCGGTGCCCGCTTCTTCCGGGGCCAGGACACGCCGTCCAACACTTCTCCCACGTCGGGGTCGTGGCTGCGGGCGGGCATCAGCTCATATGGCCTGTCGCCCAGGCGGCCGCTTCCTGCTGACGTGCCGGAGAGCATGATGCCGGCAGCAGCAGCAGCAGCGTCAGCAGGAGAGCGGAATGGTGAGGCGTGGGTGGTGGAGCCATTAGATAGTGGGGAGGTGGTGGGTGGACGGCCAGCGAGGAGGGGCGGCGGGCAGGCGGGCAGGACGGGGGATCTAGGGGAGGCCGACGGTTCAGACAGAAAGAAGGATCAGTGAGGGTGACAGACACGTCGGGTGAGGGCTCCAGTTTTGTTTTGAGTAGTCATGATTGACTAGCCAACACGAGTGGGAGGACACTTGCACTGTCGTTTTTCTGTGAACATGGCTCCGCAGCCTCGGCTCCTATCAACGCTGCGAGACGTATTTGCATGGTCATTGCTCACTTCGCGCTGGTTTCCTCGATATGACAAACGCTTTCATGGACACAGCATCTGCCCTCAGGGGCCGGGACTCGGTGTCCGCTAACGAACGAACGAGACAAAGCGAGCTTAAAGGCTTGCGTCGCTTTGTCGAAGGAAAAGGAGTTTTATCGCTTTGTCGACCCATCTTCATGCTCTGAGGTCAGCCCTGCCACCGAAAAAGCTGACTATGCAATGCATTCGTGTCCTCATCCCTCACTCTCGTGCACACACGCGATGCTGCATCCTTTCCCACGGTTCTGTTCTGCAATGGCTGCAGAGGTCGATGGCTACTGGTAGTAAGCGTGAGGTTGAGGCCCTCAAGAGGGCATGCGGCGCGCTGCACCGGGAGGGCGACGAACCAGGAGGGCCTGCAGTAGTGGCGCGCGAGCAAGAAATGGACACGCTGGAACAATTCCTTAAAGGGTATGGAGCACAAAGAGGGCAGCACATCCCTTCTTGCCCTTCTTGCCCATCTGTTTGTTGCTAATTGGTTTGTTGATCAGGGCGTATCATCAGGATGGCCACGGCTGCCTGTATGTGTGGGGGCCGCCCGGCAGCGGCAAGACCCTCTGTGTGACGCGTGCGGTGGAGGGCGTGACGGGCAGCAAGCCCCGCCTCATCAACGCCATGGACGACGGAGCCTTCACCGCCATACTCGCGCAGCTGGCAGACAAGGTCGACCTGAACCCCAAGGCCAAGCAGCAGCTCAAGGCCGCCAAGAACCAGAGCGCCATGTACGAGATACTCAAGCAGCGCATCCACGCCAAACGCAAGACATGGTACGTGGTGGGATGTGGCTGGGATGTGGGTGGGGCGATAAAGGTAGGTAGCTTTGTCCGTGTGCTTCTCCGCGTTGCATATGTGTGTGCAGTGTAGTGGTACTGGACGAGTTTGATCGGATCGCGACACAGGAGGTGATGCGTTCCGGCACGGTGCAACACAACCTCCACGCACAGCTCTTCCGCCTCGCCACGGAACCCAAGTCCAAACTCATCCTCATCGGTACGCCACACGCATCGCAGATGCTATCAACGCACACAAACCAGCGAGACAATAGCGCACCTTCCTCCTTTCCTCTCTGTCTGCGGATGGATGGATGCAGGCATTTCGAATGCCCCCCTGGGATCGCTCAAGGGGAAACTGGAACCACACCGTAACCATCACATCCACACATACAATACAGCAAATGACACAAATTCAGACACATCCTCTCCTTTCTCCCCTTTGTCTCCCCTCCCTCCCTCCCTCCCTCCCTCCTTCCCCCAGTGCACCCGCAGGTTCTCGAGTTCAAGGAGTACACATCCGCCCAGCTGCAGCAGATCGTAGAGAGCCGCATCGACAAACAGGCCCCGCCCCCGCCCCCGCCCCCACCCGACCCCACCGACACACACATGGCGTCCCCCGACGACCCACCCGTCCGAGCCGGCCGCAGAAACAAGCGCAAGAACAGCCGCATCTCCACCAGTGCGCGTGAGGGCGACCAGGACGGCCCCAAGCGGCTCAAGGATGAGGCGGGGGTGGGGAGGGCCGTAAAGGCGACACACACACACAACAAGGGGGAGGGGGAGGGAGAGGCGGACGAGGAGGGGAAGGAGTTTGAGGAACGGACGGGGGGCGGTCGTGGTGGGGTTCGCATGACTGCCACGTCGCGGAATGCTGTGGCGTTGATGTGTAAGAAGGCGGCCATCCAGCACAAGGGCGACGCTCGCAAGACACTGGGCATGGCCAGGTTCGTCACACAGCACAGCACAGCAACGAGCGACACGAGGCACACAAGAGAGACGAGTGCATGCCGCCCATCCACTCTGATTCCTCTCTGTGTGTGTCTATCTCTGCGTGTGTCAGGACCGCCCTGGGTGCGCGCATCGAGAACTTGAGCCAGGAGTTGCAACAGCCCAATCCCCGCTCGTCGTCGGTGGCCCTCGCCTCACCCTCTCGTCGGTCATCGCGCCGCCGCGGCTCACCCGGACCCGCTGCACCGGCTGCCGCGGCTGGTGCCAGTGCCGATGGTGGTGGTGCGGGTGCCACCGTGCAGATCGGGATGGCTGAGGTGGCGGCAGCGGCGCGGGCGGGTCGTGAGAGCCGTGTGTCCATCCCCAGCCTGGACCGGAGCATGCACATCTTGCTGCTCGCCGCACTGCAGCTCTCCAAGAAGAGCACCACGGGCACATTCACCGGACAGCAGTTCATGGTCAGTCAGTCGGTACACACCACGCATGCATGACGTGACAGGAGGGAGGGAGCGATCCCCAGGAGAGGAGTGGGGCGAGCGCATGGCGTCTGTGTGTGTGTGTGTGTTGTTCAGGATGAGCACAGGAGGGTGTTGCGTTGGTGCTTCATGGACGAGTACGGCGGGGCGGCCAACTTCTGGGATACGGTGCAGAACACACAGGGATACGGACTCATCGGAGTGCACGGTGAGGATCCTTCACACACATCCAATCCACGACCCGTCTGTGCGCATTGCATTTGTATGTCTCCTCCGTGTGATTGTGTGCGTGTGTCTCTCTCTTACCATCCATCCATCCATCCATGCATCCATCCATCGATGTATCAGGCCCGCGGAAGACCAAGACGGCACACTGTTACGGCCCCGGCGCTATCAAGAACCGATACAGCGTGCAGGACATCCCCGGGGGCGAAGTGGATTCCACCATTGCCCTGCTCAAGCAACTCATCTTCCCGACAGACACACAGATGACCGACAGCCAGCAATCGTGAACCAATCACCACTGACAACTGATAAGCGAGGGGGAGGGAGGGAGGGTGAATGGTGGGAGGGGGGAGCGTATGGGTCTCTTCCTTTGCATGGATGGATCCGTGACGTGACGTGACGTGGCCTGGCGTGGGCTGTCTTGTGTTGTGTTGTGTTCTACGTTGTGCAAATGTCGTCTGTAGTCATGACCCGCCCCGCCGGCACATTGATGGACACCCCGCCTACGAACGGACGGCTGGCTGGCTGTGAACAGGGTGTTCGTTGACGATGGTTGGGCATGGTTGCGCAGATGAGTGACTCAGAGTGAGCACGGAATGGATGGAATGGGTGGGGATATTTTTTATTTGGCTGGCTGTGCAATTCACCCGCAAACCACACCACACCACACCACACCACTTCTGCCAGCACTAGTTGCCCCATTGCCGCTCTGACCTTTGGCCGCTCTTTGACTGAGCTTGAGGACAGGGGCATTGATGGGACAACTAGTGCTGGGAGGGGGAGGGGTGGTGTGTGTGGCCTGGGATGTGTGTGAGTGGACGGACTAACCGACAAGACAGACAGACAGACAGAGACAACGGCTCGACTGACTCGCTCAAGTGAACGGACGGGTAGATGGCCCCGCCCTGCCCTGCCCTGCCCACCAGCCCACCCACCCCTGTTTGCCGACAGACAGACCACCAGCTAGTGACGAATGACGAATTCGCAAACTCTCTGTAATGATAGTCGAGCCCTCTTTTTCCTCATGTGCATGGAGGGGCATGATCGCTCTGCCCACCCCGCCACGTCCAGGCAGAAGGACAGTTGGGTGACGAATTCGCAGCAATGCTCTCGAATGGTAGTTGGGCGGGCTCTCTGTGTGGGAGGGGCCATGGCGGCTGCTGTATGCTATGGCGTGGTATGGTGTCATGGTGGATTGGGCTGATTGTGGGGGCGTGGCGTGGCATGGCATGGCATGGCTGCCTGGCAGGGTGTATTGCGGATGGGATGAGCCTCGTGTGTGTGCGTGTGTGAGTGTGGATTGGCCAGGGCAGGCGAGAGAGACACTTTTCCTTTCTGTGCTTTAAAACACGAAAAAGGGTCAGTCATACATCGATCCATCCATCCATCTATCCCATACACACACACACACACACCAGACAGACGACATCCATCCAATGCCTCTCGAGCGGCTGCCTGGCTGGGTGCGGTGCATGGTGTGGGGTGGGGTGGGATACGTGCGTGTGGACGTCTGTCTGTATGATAGCTACAATGAGACGGCACCCCTCGTTCGTCTGTCTGTCTGGCTGGCTGCCTGTCTGTGTCACGGACTTAATCGACTGGCATGTTTTGCACTCAACAGACGCGGGCGTAGGCGAGAGAGGTAGAGGGAGGGGGGGAGAGAGCCCTACCCGCAGCTACAAAGACACTCAAGTACACCACTCCATCCATCCATCCCATCCACACGCACACAGACACACCACTCCCCCACCAACACGCAAACACACAGACAGACAGAGAGACCCGTTCGTTCGTTTCAACATATATATTCAATCAATAGTGGCACTCACCCTCTACTGATACTGACTGACTGGCCGGCAAATAACACATACACACACACACACACACCGACACCCACGGGCAGGCCAACACACCACCCAGGCAGGCAGGCCAACAGGTCGGTAAGCGAGGAGGATGGGATGCCGGCACCGGAAGGATGCAGCAAATAGCCACGCCACGAGCCACAGTCAGGCAGGCAAAGGTAGGTGGGGGACGCAAAACACGCAAAACAGGCGGGCGATGCGGGCAAGGAGCCAGGCAGGCACTGACTAGGCAACAAAGGGAAAGATTGCATATCTATCTAGCCATCCCCCGGCCCGCAAACACAGCCTAGCCTGCCTCCACGCGACAGACAAATCAATCCATGTCAACGCAACTCGTCTCGTCTCGTCTGGTGTGTCGAATTCGCCCTCACGCGTCGATCTCGATTGGTGCAGCAACCAACACAGGCAGGCAGGCAGGAAGATAGGCAGGAAGATAGGCAGGAAGATAGGCAGGAAGATAGGCAGCTAGCAGCATTACAACGGTAAATACACATGGCATGCCAGAGGGGGGCAGCGGCAGGGGCGAGGGGGTGGGGTGGGGTGGGGTGGGGTGGGGGCGTGTCTGTGTGTGTCTATCTTTCCTTGTCCCCCCGCATGAAGGCCACAAACTCGTCCCACTCTATCAGCCCGTTGCCGTCAAGGTCAATCTGCCGAATCATCCTGATCGACGCACACACAGACATGAATAACGGGCGGGCGGGTTGGTGTTGAGTTCCTTTCAATTGCATCCGAGTGTGTGTGTGTGGATGGTTACTCTTGAATGTCCTGGCCGGCAACGAGTTTCTGCTCGGCCTCGCCCCCCGTCAGCACGTTGATGAACTCCTGAGTGGTGATCTTGCCGTCACCATCCTGCACACACATCATCCACCCACCCACCCACACATGCACCACCTCTCTCTCTCTCTCTCTGTGTGTGTGTGTGTGTGTGTGTGAATGCGACTGACGAGGTCCATTTTGTTGAATGCGCTCCACACGAGGTTGAGCGTCTGTTCCTGCCAGGTGAGGCAGGCCGCCACGAACTCAGTGTAGGATATCTTGCCGGTGCCGTCCAAGTCCATGGCCCCGATGATGCGCGTGATGTCCCACTGCGGCACGCCCGCCTTGCCCAAGGCCTGGCGCAGCTCTTCGTGTGAGAGGGTGCCGTTCCGGTCGGTGTCGAAAGAGAGGAAGAGGTCCTTGATCTGCTTGATCTGCTCGTTGTTCATGTTGAGCTGGTGGGCGACCATGGTGACGAGGGCGTTCTTGAGGGCCGACTGCTTCATGTAGGACTTGATGTTGTCCCGGATCTCCAGCGACAGCTCCTTCTCGTTGTGCGCCGCCTGCTGGAACCAGGGATGCTCCAACGCCTGAATGAGACACATGAGAGAGACGCACATCACATGGACGGTATCTGTGTGGACGCGTGTTTGCATCGCGTCAATCACATACCTGTGATGCTGAAGGCCTGACTCTGGGGTCCTTTTGGAGCATCTTCTGCAGAAGGTCGACGGCCACGGGGGACACCAGGCGACAGTCACGCTGGAACGGAGGCTGGTCTGCAGATTGCCGAGTCACACACACACACAGGGGGCAATGTCAGGTCAACCAACGCTGTTGAGGCCGGCTCTTCCCTGACGTACCTTTGCAGACTTTGTCTCTGACTTCCTCGATGGTTCTGCCCATGAAGGGCAGCCGACCGGTCAGCAGAAAATACATAATCACGCCAGCCGACCTGCACACACACACAGATACACACACACGTGATGGCATGGGTGTCCCTCCCTCTGTGTGTGTTGGGGGGGGGGGGCGGCTGAGGTGGCCATCCATCCAATCCATTCCATCCACGCCATGCCATGCCTACCAGATGTCGCACTTGTAGTTGAAGTTCCGCTGGTAGACCTCCGGCGCCATGTAGAGGGCCGTGCCAGCCGAGTTGTGGGACGTCGAGTCGTCTTGGTGGAACATTTCTGCCAAACCTGCACAGCCAAACAACCAGAAAAGACACACAACACCTGGGCGGCATGCACGCGTCTCGTCTCTGTGTGGCGTGACGCGGCTTGTCTGGCTGACCGAAGTCGATGACTTTCATCTCGGCGTCGTTGCTGGAGTCGACAAACAGCATGTTCTCGGGCTTCAAGTCCCTATGGGATGGCATGGACGGACGAGAAACAAGGTGAGGTGCGTGAGGTGAATTGCTGTGTGTGGCGTCATGGCCTGGCCTCATATATTGCGTACTTGTGCACGACTTTCTTGGCGTGGATGTATCCGAGTGCCTTGAGCAGCTGGCCCATGATGTTGGCCACAAAGTGCTCCGTGAAGCGCTGGCCACTCTGATCGACCAACGGACACCACACACACACGGACAGACAGTAGGGACGCATGGCAACTCAAATGCCCTGTGGTGCTGGCCCACTCACTCTCTCACCCGGTGTATCTCGCTGATTCTCTTGAGCAGCTCGCCGCCCTCGCAGAACCTGACACAACGAACGGCATAGATACGAATGCACGTGTGTGTGAGAGAGTGTGACAGTGTGTGGGGCGTGTCAGTCAGTCAGTCAGTCATGGTTCACTGACTGACTCCATGATGATGTAGATGTTGTTGTAGTCGTCGTAGACTTCGAAGATCTTGATGATGTTGGGGTGGTCCAGCGACTTCATGATCTCGATCTCAGCCTGATGACGGACGGGACACACAACACACACACACGCGTGGCACATCCACTGAGGGCCTCCCTCCCTCCCTCCCTGCCAGGCAGCCAGCCTGGCTACGTACCTCGATTTGTTCTACTGGTACGGATGACCTGTCCTTGTTGATCGTCTTGCACACGCGCACCAGATTGGTGCTGCATTCCATCCGCACACACAGACCTCTCATCTCATGCTGATGTATGTGATAGCCCGCCTTGCTCCCTCCCCCCTTCTTACGTCCGCTCCCTGACGAGGTGGACTTCGCCAAACGAGCCGCACCCCAGCTTCTTCTCAAAAATCAGCAACTCTGAGTGAGTGCCGGCAGCGCAGAACAGACCGACAAAATGACCAACGACAACGAACGGTGGCCACACGTGCAGTGGACCATGTCAGTCGGTTGCATTTGTTTGTGTGTGTACCTACCGTTGATGTCTCTCCTTTGTGATGCCAGCGAGGTGCGTCTGACGAAGAAGGCCCGCCGGATGCGCATCTTGCGCTGGGGGTAGTACTTGTCGCGAATGCGACACAACAACTGGAAATACTGCAGTCGATCCGGCAACCAACCACATCACACATCCACATGACATGACATGGACCATCTTACACACACATACAACACATGGCTCGCGGCTGTGTGTCTATCCGTGTGGGGTGCTTACGAGCTGCGAGAACTCCTCCAGTTGGAGCTTCCCATCCCCTGCACAGACAGGCAGACAGACAGACAGATGGATGCTGGTGGTGGTGGTGGTAGTGCTGGTGGCCGTGTGTGTGTGTGTGTGTGTGTGCCTGAGAAGTCGTATTTGTTGAATATTCGTTTGAGTGTTTCGTCGTCGACTGGTGGCAGCTGTAGGTTCTGGCACAGCCTGGCCGTGAGCTTCCTCGTCTCGTCAAAATCCAAAGTGCCACTCTCGTCCTTGTCAAATTGCTGTGAGTCCAATCGCATGGGGGCAGACAAAACATCACGTCGAGACTCTCTCACACTTAGCTGACTGACTGACCTTGAATGAAGCCTTGGCCGACTTAAAGAACGTGTGCTTGTCAGCCAACACCTGTCAGGTGACAGCCACACACAGTACACACCACACCACAACACACCACAACACACCACACGCAGCTTGGAGGCCGGCTGGCTATTGATTGTCTGTTGCTCGTTGCTTTGCTTGCCTTTTCGAGTTTGTTTCTGATCTCATCGGTGTCGAACTTCGAGGTGCTGTTGTGGCCAGCCATGCCTCCTCCCTGCTGATGCTGCTGCTGGTGGTGGTGATTGACGGATGGCTGGGCGGCCGGATGGGGGGAATGACTGGGCTGGGGGGCGGCGAACGGGTTGGTCGATAAACCTACACACACGACAAACACACACACACACACACAGGAAATGAGTGGAGGGTAATGAAGTGCTTTGATTGTCTGTCCGTTTGTTCGTTGACCTTACCTTGTCTGTGTGCGTGAGTTTGTGCGTGCTGAGGATGCTGCATCGCTCAGCACAGGGCCCGCTTCATTCGGCAACCGAATGAAGGCCCGACAAAAGAGCCAATCAACACAGGCAACACCGACCGACACACCGACTCTTGCCGAGTAAGAGAGGCCAAAGAGCACCGAAGGTCAATCGGTCGTCACACTGTTGTTGGAGCCGATGAAACACACACAGCCCCTCACTGACCGCTCAACTCACTCACTCAGCTCCCTGGCTGCAGGCTTGCAAGACTCTGAAGGGCGGTTTGAGAAAGCGAGGCTTGCAACTCTTCCACTGAGAAGCAACTGATGCGACTGATCGGTTGAGCTGCCCTGGGAAGAGGCCCGTGTGTGACGCCCCTCTGCACGCTTAGCTCGCAGACCCCCGAGCTCGCAGAAAGATGCGGAGGACAACGCGCTCTCAGGAGCCTTCCAGGTGGGTACAGGCATGTATCTGATCGATGTTATCCATCATAGATATGTCTGCAGGGTCACTTCGATGAGCACATCTGTCAAAGAATCTCCACAAGCAGCAGCTGCAGCTCTGCAGTGAGCCATTGTGTATGCGGCCGAGGCATACAATGCTGCAGCAGGAGAGTGCGGCCAATGGCGGGGCGGTCTATCAGCCGCTCACGAGACCTGACGCAGTGGACCACCCCACTGCAGCAGAGGAGGGGAGGGCGGCATCGTCCACTGGCAGCAGCATCATGACCAATGTGGCAAGGGTGGCCGTCGTGTGTCTGCTGCTGAGTGTGCTGCTGTTCGGTGAGTGAGTGACCGGAAAGAGGGCCTCTGCATCATGCATTGCATTGCTGATCTGTCTGTCTGGTGCTCTTTGGTATATGTCAGTGCTTATCGACAGCTTTGCTTATCGACAGCTGGAGCATCTGTTAGTGGAGTTCGTGTCCTGGGTGCGGGGCAGCGGGGCCAAAGGGGTGGGCCTTTTTGTCGGTGTGTACGCCCTGGCTGTCGTCTTGTTCATCCCCGCCAGTGTGCTCACCCTGGGGGCGGGCTTTGCCTTTGTGTCTGCCTATGGTCTCGCAGAGGGTACGGTAGGCGGAGCGGAGGAGATACAGACAGACAGAGGTCAACCAGAGAGAGATGCACAGCACGTGTGGCGTGTGGCGTTGGTATATATGTCAGGTTTGGCCATCGCCATCTCTGCCGTATTTGTGGGTGCATCGATTGGGGCGGTCCTTGCATTCGGCCTCGCTCGGTACGTCTTTCGGGGGTGTGTCCGTCGGCTGTCTGAGTCCAATCGCCTCCTGGCGGCCGTCGACAAGGCCGTGGAGCAAGGCGGCCTGTACATAAATGTTCTCATGCGACTCTCGCCAATGATACCGTTCACACGTATGTTATGTGTGCAAGGAAACCACCACACCCACACATATAACATCCAAAAGCCGCTCTGTCTGTCTGTCCATCTTGTGTGTGCAGTGTTCAACTACGTCATGGGTTCTAGCCGGTGTCGATTCGTCGACTACCTCGTCGGGCTGGGTGGCATTCTCCCCGGCACCATTGCGTACGTCTACATCGGTGCGCTGCCCGCATCGGCCGCATCGGGCAGCCAAGGGGTGTCGGGGCATGAGTCGGCCCTGGCACACGCCACCGAGAGCTCGACGGCAGTGGTGATCCGGCATGTCTTCCTGGTGTTGGGGCTGATTGCGATGGTTGGTGCGCTGGTTGTCATCAGCCGACTGGCGAGAAGAGCTCTCACGGTGAGGATGGATTCGAGAGCACACGAAAGGGCGAAGGATTGTGGGTGTGCGCGCGAGTGTGTGTGCAGGATGCGCTGAGCGAAGACAGCCAGCATGAGCCACTGAGGCGAGATGAGGTGGAAGGGTCGGAGGAGCAAGACACTGACAAACGGACTACTTGATGCGTGTCAGTCAGTGAATTGCTGCATTTGCGCGACATGGTTGTCGGTGATGGTGTCCAGACGGAGACCTGGTGCGTTGCCTTGTGCCCTGTTAGTGTTGAATGTGAGGTCAAAAATCCCACCCTGTGGTCCCGCCACACCACACACACACATCCACGTGTGTATTGGCGTCACCTCTCCAGTGTGGTGGTGTTGACATGCACACACGCAGCTAGCTGCTATCCAGCTGGTGCATCTGCTTTGGTCACAAACTGATCGGGGAGCATCTGCCGCTTCCTATGTTGAAAAGCGGCTGCACACCGAGCGGTCCGTGGCAAAAGCAGACACCACCACATCAGGAAAGCAGTAGCCCCACCACCACACACACACATTCCGTGCAGCAAAGCAAAGGGGCAAGGGGGTGGAAGACATGCGATGACAGCCCGTCATTCCCCTTCCTGCCAGTAGTACCTGTTTATCGACCCATCTGTCTGTCTGGCTGGCTGGCTATCTGGCTGGCTGGCTGGACCTTACTGCGTTCACACGACAGCAATTGCTCAAGAGCAGACCAGACTGTTGCTCTCTGCTCGTGTCGCTGTGGTATGGTGCAGGCAGCCCAGAGGCAAATCCGTCCGAGAGGAGACGAAAATGCTTCTCAGCCGCCCACATCATACGACACCGACCCGACAGCAAAGCCATGGCACTCACCAGGCAAGCCCTCCAGTGGTAAATGAGTCCGCGCGTGTGCGTCGTCAAAAATGCTCTCTTGCTTTGACCGATCCATGTCCGTAGCGTATGCTCTCAGACGACGCACCCACTCATCTCTCACACACTGCAGGCAGGATGGGATGGCGTATCAGTCGGGGCCAGCCAACAAGACGGCACGTATCAGTCAGTCGGGCTATCTGGTCAATCATAAGGCACTGTCTGTCTGTCTGTCTGTCTGTAGACCCATGTAAATAAAGAAAACAATAAACACATTGAGAGTGAGAGTTTCTCGATCGACCGTGGCTGTGCCTCCTAAATCAAGACACCCCAGCTGGCCATTCATCCATCCATTCATTCATTCCGGCACAAGGGAGGGACACTCTCGCTGACTGCATGAGTGCCTCTCTCGGCGGATGGCATGGCGTGTCGTGTCGTGTTGTGGCATGGGCGAAATCTCCCGTGCGTTGAGTTCTCACTGCATTCACTGTCCGTCTGATGGCATTAAAAAAAAACAAATGTGGGGTTTTGACGACAAATGTGTGCAGGCAAGGGTCTGAGGAAGCAAGGAAGATATAGGCATGGCATGGCTAGCATGGTAGGGCATAGAATGTGTGTAAAGCAAAATCGCCAGTCAGTCAGCCTGTCTGGCGCGGCTTGGCATGGCACGGCATACGGCATATGGCATGGAGGGCAACGTAAAACCGAGGAGGAAAGCGCATTTCACGCAGACAGGACACTTCACTGCATAGAGAGACAGACAGACAGACAGACGGGCAGACGGGGAAACGGTCAGGCAGCAGCAGGTTTAATTCTCGTCTCAAGAGCAACAGCTTAGCATCCCCTCCTCTCGTCCGCTCTGTACACAAACAATCGCCCCATACACAATCTGATACACACCCACGTCGGCCCTCTCGCTCTCGCTCTCTATCCCCCTCTCTCTCCCCTCTTCTCTTCTCTTCTCTTCTCTTTGTTTCTCCCCTGCTCCCGAGAGCTTCACTCACTTCAACAGCAGCGGGACAGCCACGCACTCACACACCACACCACACCACACCATCCCGTCCCATCCCATCCCATCATCGATCACACCCATCCCATCTCATGGAAGCACGTCAACTCAGCGGTGCAGCCGACAGCTGCAGGAGGCGGTAGCCCGTACGTGCAGACACAGATAGATACAGAACCCACAACCAGCCGACCAGTCAGACATCCACACGACAGACAGACACGCACATGCGCACACACATCAACACACTTGCAGGCAGCCACCACACACATCACATCGAGGGTAGTAGGTAGAAGAAATGGAGTGTAGGTCTTACTGCTCCCGGCCGTCCAGCATCAGCCCCTGGGCGTGCACCAGCTTGCTGAACGAGTATGATGGTCCCGTTCAGCAAAGAGGTGCACCGCAGAGACGTAAACCAAAAGTCCAAGACCCCACACACATGTCGGCACGTGTGGGGAGACGTGCAGGCAGGCAGACAGGCGATGAAGATGAGCGATAGGGTCATGACAAGGAGCACCTCATGAACCAATCAACGAGTGAATGAATCAATGAATCAATGAATCATGAAGCAGTCATTGTACGTATGGAGTCATTCATGTAGTCTGTCTGGAGTGAGTCATCGACGGACGTGCAAAAGGGTTGGTTTGGGCCGGCCGGCCGGCCGGCTACAGTGAGTAGTGAGTGGGGATGTGTGGGTCGGCAAGTGGCCCAAGGAACCCCTCACAGATACACAGACAGAACAGTGAGACAGTGAGACAGACAGACAGACAGACAGGAAGGCATTGGCATGGACGTCAAAATTGTAACACAACACGTAACACTCAGCAGACAGACAGACAGGCAGGTTGACAGGTAGACTAGGCAGGTAGGCAGTAGTAGTGAGTGAGCGGCTGGCTCGGTCATTTGGCTTTCTTACTGCCGTCCATCTCCCTCTCCACGGCGTACTCGGCCACGTTCTTGAGGTTGCCCAGCGTCGCCTTCACGGCCTGATGTAGGTAGGGACACGTTCACAAACCAAGCCACATCCATCTCTACTGTCCTCTCTCTCTCTCTCTCTCTGCGTGTGTCCGTTAGTTACCGTGATGTAGTCGAGGCTCTGGTAGGTGAGGCCATGGTCCTCGCAAAACTGACGAATCCTGAAACACACAGACAGGTGCTAGTGAGGGACTATGGTGGTGGGGTGTGTGTGTTTGTTCGCCGTCCATCGAGATCTCACTGCAGTGACTGACCTGGGCACGAGTTGGGGCTGTCTGTACTGCGGCATGGAGGGGAACAGGTGGTGCTCAACCTGGCAGTTCAGGTAGCCCATCCACCAGTTGACTGAATATATGACACAGACACACATCGATCCACACACATCTCTCCTCCCTCCCGACAGGCTGGCTCCCTCCCTCCCTCGCTCACCGAAGGGGTTAGGGTCGACGTTGATGGTGTAGTCGATGCCGTATTCGACCCAGTTCTTGTGCTCGTCGGCCCGTGTGGTCGGCAGGTGGGTGTGGTTCAGGCTGAAGTTGCCGAACAGGTACACGCCGCTCACAAACATGGTCATGTAGAAGGTCGACAGACACATCAAAATCGACCAGTCCGACGGGCACGAGTAAAAGTGCGCCACGTAGCGCAGGATCACAAACAGCAAAGTCACCGGGTCACGCCGCCCCTTCCTGCAATGCAGAACGCGCACACACAACCATGGCCGGATGGATGGATGGTCGCTGCCCGAGTCAACGCGCCGCGCCCGTGTGTGTGTGTGTGTATGTGTGTGTACCTCAGGATGTATTCCTTGGGGTGGAGGTAGAAGTGCCAGAAGAAGACGTTGAGCACCGACGTCAGCGGCAGGAAGGTCAGGTGCTGGTAGCGGATCCACCAAGTCGGCGTCATGGCAGCACGACGACCGCGCTCCAACGCCTAAACACAGCACCACACACACAAGTGTGAAGAGACCCACGCCGCACTCTCTGCCCGTCCCTCTCTCCCTCACTCCTCCCTCTTTCCCTGTGTGCCCGTCGCTTACATCCTTGTAGAAGGCGACGAAGGGCAGCGTGTCGACGTCGAGGTCGTGGTCCTCCTTCTGTGGAGTGGCATGGTGTTTGTTGTGCATGTGGTTCCACTTCCAGCCGTATGTGATGAGGCCGAAGGAGATGAAGATGGTCTGGATGGCCTTGTCCACCGGGATGATGCCCGTCAGGGAGTGGTGGCCGCCCTCGTGCTGGATCCACCCCGACCGGCCGCCAGCCAGGCCCCCGATGAACATGGACAGCAGCACCGACCACCAGGTGCCCGCCTTGAGCAGCACGAAGCTCACCACGAACATCGAGATGATCTCCACTATCCTGAAGGCCACGTGCGCCAGGTCGGGCTTGAACCAGCCCTCCGCCACCAGGTCGCTCCGCAGCTTTCGGTAGTCGGCCAGCATCTGCTGCGCTCGCTCACTCTTTTCCATGGGCTTGTCGGCGGGCCTGGAGGGCAGCGACTTGAGGATCTTGTCGGCCCGAGGACTGCGCTGGTGGAAAGCGACGTAGGCATCGGTGGCGTCCTGGTTGGCGTAGTAGGCGATGACGGAGCCGCCGGGGTGCCGCTTGACAAAGTCGGTGATGTCGTATATGCGGTCACGCACCTGGATCTCGACGCGGCCGGACGCCGGGGGAGCCTTCCGTGATGCAGGGAGGAGACGAGGCGACGCCTGCTTGCACATGGTGACGGGACGGGACTGGGGTTGCCGCTGCAAGAAAAGGACTGCACTGGCAAGCTCGCAGATCCGGCTGCGAGCTTAGCCGAACGATCCCTGGCCGCGGCCAGGTTTTCTCCGCCAGGTTTTGCTGAAGCTCGCAACATGAATCTGGGCAGTCAGCATTCATTCTCAGCAGGAGAACACCTTCGACCAGGACGCACAAGCGATGGCGGCCGAGAACGGCAACATGGATTGGGACGCTGGGCCAGGGCGAGGACCGATACCAAACCAGAACCGGCAGGAGGAGGGGAGAGGGCGGCACGAGGGTAACAGCAAGTTCAACAGTGAGTGCCTATGATAGATAGAGACTGAAAAAATTCCGTTGTCAGTTGCCGAGTCTGCCACCTACCCCATCTGTCCGTACGAACGAGTTGACTACAGCGTTATCCGTCAGGCTGTCAGGCATCATGCTTTTCATCCCATCATATCGCATCTCATCGCATCGCATAAAGGGGCTGGCTGCGGAAAAATAAGGTGTAGTGCAGCTGCGCAGCCAGCCAGCCAGCCAGCCGGACATGACCAACGTACCAACACACGATCGAAGGAAAACTGCCTGCCTCGGCAAACGAACGAGACCACTCTCGGTAGGTAGCTAGTCGCTGCATTGCCAGACCACCCCACGCAGACAGACGCACAGCCAGTGCTGCCTCTCGCATGCCGTCACTCACAGAGACCGAAAAACGAACGAGGCAGAGCACTCTCTCCACCGTACGTTGCTGTCATATAAAGCATAGCGGTGTGCCTGTGGCACACACGGCACGGCTGCCTTTGTTTCTTCTTTCCGACATTGCCTGCATCGCATCCATCAGACGGCATACGATGGGCTCTCTGACTTGCCGGTCTTCTGCAGTTTGTCTATGCCCTCAACCACCCGTGCCGACACGATGGTGTCCCCCACTCGGATGTCGCGCAGGAAGTCCGCACCAGACACCGTGTAGCCAAAACACGCGTACCTGAGTGAGGCACACACACACACGTGTGGTGTGGGGTGGGGTGGTTGGTCGGGCTGGGTGTCATTCTGGTGGCTTGGCGAGCGTGTCTGTCTGAGCGTACCTTCCGTCCATGAAGTTTTTGCCGGCCGGTGTGAGGTCCGAGTCGAAGAGCAGCCAGAAGAACTGTGAGGAGCCGCTGTTGTTGTCGAACTCTGAGCGAGCCATCCCAAGCGCACCGTACGCCTGTGGAGGATAGACACGCAAGAAACGACGATCATGTTATGGCCCACAGGCCGATGCTTTAGCATGTGGTAATTTCGGCTGACCTGGAACGGGAGCGTTGTGGCCGCGAATCCCCGGCCATCCTCCTCTGTTGTCTCGCCGTACATGGGCGCATTGTCGCCCTGTCCACACACACATCACACACCAACACACAAGTGTCACCCATAGGCCTTTCCTTGTCTTCTCCATGCCTCCCTCACCTTGACGAATATCTCAAGTGGGACCCTCCTCGGCTCCTTTGCCCCAGTCGGCACATATCCCTCCGGTCCGCTGTCAGGCTTCCCCGTCTGCACCACGAAGCCGTCAGAGCGGCTGATCTTCATCGAGTCGTAGAAGCCCTTGGACACCAGGTCGACGAAGTTGCCGGCCGTCACTGGGGCGTTCCAGCCGTCAACCACCATCACGAGCTTGGCCTCGTCGTATAGACGGCCTTCCAAATCGAACTTGCTGCCGTCGGCCTTCTTGACCACCATCTCCACCTGACTCACACACGGCACGGCACACAGACACATACACACACGTCCTCACTCACACATGCAGAAAAGACAGACAGGCAGATGCTCTCTCTTTGTGTGCCATGTGTCACCTTTGCTCGCCCCTGCAGTTGCGGCAGGCTGGCGAATTCTTGTGGCACAGGGACCTTGTAGTTCTCCGGCACCATGAGGGCCATCAGGGCGGTCATTTTGTCGGCTATGCCGCCCTGCAGCTCCAGGCACTTGTCCAGCTTGGCGGCCTCCTGAGGCGAGCCACGTGACGCCGGCTCGCGGATGGCCTCTATCAATGGGTCAACCGACGCACCGATCGACGCCAGCAGCTCCTTGGCCTTGTCCTCCGACTTGGGTCGGATGGCCTTGAGCAGGGACGCCTCCTTGTCCCTGATGAGCACTCTGGCCTTGTTAAGGTGGTTGACGGCCGAGTCGAAGCGCTTGACGGGGATGTCGCCCTTGACCGCTTCTAACTCCACTTGCAGAGCCGTCACGTCCTTGTCCTGGATCGGCAGGCCGTAGCGCAGCAGACTGTCGGCGTCCTTGTTGACACGTGAGCCCGCTGCCGATGGAGCGTTGAGCCCGCCCTGCCACGACTTGGCCGCATTCGACGGGAAAGAGGGCAGCAGAGGCGAGAGTGCCGCGATGCCGACAGCTGCACGTGCCGCCTCTTCTGCATAGCCTCTTCGTGATGTGCATTCGGCGTTTTCAGAGGCTGCTGGGCCCGTCGATTGTTGCTCGGGGAGGGAAGGGCGTCTCAAGGACGGGGTACGGGTCAGGCGAGTTGCATCACTGAATGAATGCTGCACTCTGAACGTCCAGGCAACCTCAGAAAGGCCCAGGAGCGCGGCCGCGCAGATGGCGACTGAAGATCTTCTGACGCCCATGCCCATGCCGGCGTTCTCTTCTTCCCCTTCTCCTTCTCCTTTCCTCACGGTCCTCCCGCAGAGTCTGCGAGCTTAGCTGTTTTGGAAGCGGAAAGGACTCCCATCGGCACCATAATCTCGGTGATCCAAGTGAAGATCTGATCGATTCAACCATCAACCCATCGACGCACTCATGCTGACCTTGGCGTCCGCCATGGGGGTTCTCGCAACCGATGCCATCAGCACTGGCCGCCTGGAGCCTTTCCACTCAACGACGATTCACAACGAACTGCCCATCTCCCCCGCTCGTGGCCGCAAGACCGTGAGGCTGCCGACATTTGCAACGCGAAGATCACACCCGACAGAAGATCAGCAATGGAGGACCAGTAAAGAGCCCGCCGTGGCTGAAAAGTCCGCTTTCATTCATCCCTTGTCGGCGCCGACGAGTGGCAGGCTGTCCCGGAAGCGTCCCATGCAGAGGCCGCATTTGGTGATGGCAGCGGGCGATGCGACGACACAGAAGGGCAGGCAGGACCAGGCGAGTGAGCTGGCTTTCCAGCCGGGGTGGGACGGAGCGTTCCGTGAGGGCCAGCGGGTCGGCAAGTACTCTGTGAAGAGAGTATTGGGAAGAGGAGCCGCGGGTGAGCCATCCATCGAGCACACAGACGACGGATCCGATCCGCACATGCGCATCAGGGCGACTGCATGTACTGTACGTGTGTTTGTTGTTTCAGGCATCACATACGAGGCGGAGGCATCACCTGACCACCCAACCATCCCTCGACAGACGTAAGAAAGGCAGACAGACAGACGTGCGCCAGTCCAGCACGACAGGGGCACCATCTCCTTCTTTTTCTGTCCGTCCGCGTGTGTCCAGTGTCGCCCTCAAGTGTGTGTCGCTGCGGAACATGAGGACTTGGAAGGCCATGGATCTGATAGAGAGAGAGGCCCGTGTGCTGCAGTCGCTCAGCCACCCCGCCATCCCGGCTTACGTCGAGTACTTCCAGCTCGACGATGCTGGTGGCGACGGCTCGACCATCTTCTGCCTGGCTCAGAAGCTCGCGAAAGGACAGACGCTCGAGGTAATGTCAGAAAGACACCGATGCGTAGACAAAGACACACACACTGCCATGTGGGACGTGACGCAGGCGCTGGTGAAGGAGCGGTGGAGTGTGGACGATTCGGTCATATGCGCCATCGCCATCCGGTTGCTCGAGGTGCTGTCTTACCTCCACTCCCAGCGGCCGCCCATCATCCACAGGGACATCAAGCCGGCAAACATAGTGGTAGACCGGCAGCCGGACGAGGGCAATGGGGAGCAGGTGGATCTGTCGCTGGTGGACTTCGGGGGTGTCACGTCGGCCGTGTCGTCACAGTCGTTCGGCAGCACTCTTGTCGGCACCTTCGGATACATGGCACCAGAACAGGTAGCTAGGTACACGCAAGAGGGAAATGGTACGGCTGTGTGCTGCACACGGCTGCTCTGTGTGCGGTTGCATGGCTGCAGTTTCGCGGAGTGTCGTCAGTTCAGAGTGACCTCTACTCGGTCGGCGCCACACTGCTCTACCTCATTACTGGCCAGGAGCCATCAACCTTCCCTGAAGACAGGCTGCGGATCGACTTTTCCTCCGCCCTGCCCAAGCAGCTGTCGCCCAGCATGAAGACCCTGGTTGCCGTCACCCAGCGGCTGGTGGAGCCGGCACCGCAGGACAGGTATGCGTCGGCTGACGATGCGCTGAGGGATCTTCAGCAGAGGCTGAAGCGGCCGGAGATCACCCAGCAGATCAGACGACAGGTGCGCATGCAATACAATGAGAGGCTCTGGGATATCGGCAGCGAGAGTGTCGTGTTGCTTGTTCCCTTCAGATTGATAATTTGGTGGTATTGCGGCGGCCAAAGGGCACCAAGGTGGACGTCAAGATCGACTCGGAGGGGCGGCTGCGCATTCACCTCCCACCCGTCGGCATCACTCCCGACATGATACCGCAAGTGAGTGACCAATCGCTGCTCACGACCAACCCAATGCACACCAAGAAAGCGGCCATGTGTGTGCAGGCGCTCTTCGGCGCGGCGTGGAACGGCATCATCGGTTCATGGACCTTCACCGCTCTGCGTGCCGGCGCGGGCATCGGAGGTGCGCTGTTTTCTCTGCCCTTCTGGGCAGCGGGCTTCTTCCTCGCCAAAGGGCCCCTCGTCGATGCGGCCGAGTCGACGGACCTCACCATCGGCCCGGACGTCTTTGACATCAAAAAGTACCTATATGGCGTGCAGCGCAAACGGGAGACGGGCACAACGGCCGGTGAGATCGATGGCCGACATGTACACAATGGGCTGGGCTGCTGAGCTGCACACGGGTGTTCACGGTCTGACATCGTATCGATCAGAGTTGGTGCGTTCGGCTGTGGTGATTGCTGGTGCAGATCTGACGGTGTCGCGTGTGGTGGTGGAGGTTGTCGTCAACGGCGTCCCGCAGACAGCCATCGAAATACAAGAGGGAGTCAAGTAAGGAAACCGCACACACACAGAGACACAAACACACACGCACTCCCGCAGACACACACACACGGAAGGGTGCTGGTGGGTGTGTGCAGCAAGTATAGGTTCGGTCGTGGACTGACGACAACGGAGCAGCACTGGATTTCCTCCCAGATCAACGCATACATTCTCGAGGCACAGCGGAGCCCACAGCCGTGATGGACGAATGCCTAAGGGACACTAGCATGAGTGCATGCGTCTGTGCTGCCTTTATCCGCCTAGCAGTGACGGATCTGATGTGATGTGCGCATTTATGGAGGTGCGTGTTTGTGTGGCCAGTGAGCAACCGAGTGAGTGTACATAATGGCCTAGTTGTCGTCCTAGCTACCTGTGTGGTCGGCGTGAAGATGCATGCAGAGAAAGGGGCTGTCTATCGAAAGATTCGCGTGGGGCTCACACACCCCAGCCCCACGGCATGACGACATGTGTCACGTACCTATAGCAGGACAGCGAGTGTGAACGAAGCCATCTGTGTGTAAGGAGTACTTGTCGGCTGCTGTCTGCTGCCTGCCTACTACATGCAATGAATGAATGAGTGAATGAATGCGCCTGTCTGTCCCACGGGCACGCAGGCGCCAATTAGACCCGAGCAGAGCTCAGCTCTACACAGGCGCTCGCTCGTGAAGTATCAGGTCAGTCATGTCTCCCTGCACGTGTGTGTGTTTGTGTGACAGTGCAGTCAAAACGGGTTGGTCCCCTCTTCTCTCTCCTTGCATACACACAAACGTAGCAACCAACGGACGAATGGATGGAAGGAGGGATGGATGGATGGAATGCACACAACGTCGCTTGTCATTCACGTCGATATCTGATGCAGACGTGAGGTAAGTATGTAGGTGAGGCACCAAACACGCATCCATCCGTGAGGTGAGCGGAACAATGAATGACGCGGAACAATGGATGCACTTCTGTTCTCACCGTGGCATCTCTTCGAAGCCTTTCCAGTCTCAAAGCGGCTGTTTTGCTCCCACGAACAGATGGCGCAAGCATGATCTCTCTCGGCGAGAATTGGAGACGGGACGAGAATTCGAAAATTCGGAGACGGGAAATAAACTATTCCTCCCACTTTTCATAGTTTTCGTCCACACTCCGCTTCTCAGCCTTCTTTCGGCCACAGATGCTCCGTTTCTTTTTGTTTTCATCTGCTTTTCGGCTCGTGTGGTTCGCCTCATCCCCTCCAGCCCCTCCCAACTCGTCCGGATGAAAAGTGAACCTTCCTTCCTCTCCGCCATGCCACGAGCGAGGCCTCCGCCGGAGGCGCCCTGCCGTCTGCTGAACAGCTGCCGACTCCTGACACCTAACTGGCGTCAACCGAGTGCGCCGACGCCATGTTTTGTCTTCAGAACATCCTCTCAGGTGAGTACACCTTTCGTTTCTTCGGTTGGCTGCGGTGACGGTATGGTGTGTGGATGATGTTCAAGGATGACTGCATAGTCCGTTTCAATGGCATTACTGTGGTGGTCTCATGTGCCCTGTTGGCATGCTTGTCTGCAGATGATGAAATTTTGGTTCTTTCTCCTGATGGCCGTCTCTTGCGGACGAAGTCCTCAACAGGTGAATGAAGTATTCTGACTATGGGGGGGAAACTGTCATTAACCGTAACACTCGTCTGTGTGTCCGTGATACTCATACAAATACAGTCCCATCAGCACGCAGACTCAAACAGGCTCAAGGGGAGGAGGGATCAATCCCCGCCCCATCAGCACACCCCAGTCCCGCAAACCCTCCCCTCCCTCCCCCACGCAGACAGAAGCTAGTCGCACGCGCGAGGGCGATAGACAAGCGATAGCGAATCCATCCAGACACATGACTGAACCCCCGACCCTTCCAC